AGTTAGTGTTTATACTGGACAAACGGTCTCCTCTACACTTACGAAGGACGGCCTCAAGGGCCCTGTTGTGAGCGTTTCGGCGCTGAAAAACGCTGAATAAATGTAGTTATCTGAGGGGCATCCGGGTTATACAGGCACGGTGTCAAGACGTCGTTATGGGAAATAACTTGCGACAATTGATATATCAGCTGCCTATAGGGGTAGGACGTCGTGTTGTCGTTGGAGAGATATCACGACATGTGATTTATCGATGTCGACTTGCGAATCTTGGGAATCCTCTGCAATGGGATCGCACAGGTTGGAGTTTACGATCAGGAATCCGGCATTTGACTCAGATAACGCCAAAGTGTTGACACTTGAGGAACGAAGAAGTTTATCTTGGCCAAGACTCGGAAAGACCTTGGAACCCCCTTGTAGACGCTACTGTCGGAGCCAAGGAAAATACTGTCAAGATGTTGTCCGACGCGTGCGAAGTTGGTGTCCTTAGTTTTTTTAGAAATATATATCACACAGCGAGTGACATGGCAAGACTGTTTGGTCACTCTGACAGAAACGTTGTAAATTAAATCTGTCGCGTGGGTCCTAACTCTACGACATTCACTTACTGTATTAAATCTCGCTTGATCTATCACTTGGACACTAGTGAACGCAGTATGTGGCATTTATTTGTAGTACTAGTACTTACCACGAGGACTCAAATATCAGAAAATTACAAACATTGGACACAGAATTAGGACAGCCATCACAAAACTCTGGATTAGTTCACACAAACTCCACATAGAAAAAGGCATTCCTCTACAGCTAAAGGATTTGTCAATTTTGTAATTTAGATAAAATTGAACATGAGTGTCATTTTATAGTTGATTGTACAATATGTACAATATACAAAGCTGAAAGAGATTCCCTCTATACTATAAAAGATAAGTTTCCCAGCTTTAGACATTTAAATAAAGCAGAAAAATAATTCGTATTTCTTATGAAACTTGACATAATGACAGAGACGTCTGAAGCTTGAATCGTTTAAATCGCCATGGATCAAAAGCGCCTCTAGCGGCGAAAAGCAATCACTGCAGTGGTAGGAGTGTGTTGCCAACATTATGGTGCAGTCCATTGAACTGCTAGAAGAGGGCCTGCAAGCCCTTTTTCGTAAGGCGTAATCAGGCCTTTTTAGACTCCGTAATTCGTAGGCAGCCCCTGCAAAAATCAACGTAATTCGTAATTGGACATTAGCCACAAATCGTAAAGTCGTAATCAGCTCTGAGACTTAAATGTAATTCGTAATAGGCGGCGAAAATTTTGCGTAATTCGTAATCACTAGCCCCCCTTGCAGGCCCTCCTAGAAGCCGCTTTTGATCCATGTACTTCACCTTCAACCTGTATTACAGCAGTCTAGCATGCAGTCCTTTTGGTTTCCAACCATAAAGTCGATGCCAGTGAAAAATGGGGAAGGGGCGTGAGATGGAACCGGGTATCTCTCACACTCCTGCCAGCGTGTGTCGGGGACCGGGAGCGGGTAGCGTAACACCCCCACCAAACTCCTTTCAACTTCAAGCCGTACCCGGAAATTCAAGCCGTACCCGCTCGAAAATTTCAAGCGGTACCCGCGAAAATTTCAAGCCGTACCCGGTAATTCGTGCCATACCCTGTACTTTTTCACCGTACCCAATGGCGGATATCGCTCAGCCCTGGTGCGTAGTCACTCGGACGTTGTGTCTAACGATACACAACCTCATATAGCTGTGCTCTGGTAAATATTCCTGACTATTCTTAACTCTTTGTCTGATTGATGGCGTTTGGTATTAAAAATTTCTCAACTTATATACTTGGGAAGAAATCACTCTAATATTGAAATCTGGGTTGAAAGTTGAAATAGGAAAATGAAGAGATAATCCTTGGCAAAAAAATTAAAATTATAATCCATATATACAGTGTACAATGTAGTATCCCAGTATCTGAGACCAATGCACTAAATTCTTGTAAAGTTGTAGGTATGTAGTTTGAAGTGTTTGATGTACTAGTTTGTTCATGTCCTTATACTTGGCCACAAAAATTATCTTGATCCTGTGAAGACTAACTCTTCTACTGGTCATCACAGAGAATACAGATGCTACCGGTATGTACAGTATTTACATTTTCATCTCTAAGCTTGGCTTTGTATCTGAAACATTTTTACATTTTCATAGTACAGGGTAAATTCCCATAGCTCTTTTGGACCAAAGCATTATTAGTGGATCATGGCTTAACGTCCCATCCTAAGGCCTGCAACTCTTTACAGTTGTGTGCATGTTGAGTGAGCAACAACAGCCGGGATTCAAACTCCTGAACTATATTATGTAATAACTATATATCCAGGCTCACTTTATACATGTAGGATACACATGCCCTTCTTGATGCTCCCAACCCGGTAGGTCACTATGATGATGATGATGGCGATGATTAAGCTTATGAACCCTTCTTTGACAACAGGTGGTGACAGGAACAGGTGGTACCCAGGGTGCACCTCTGCCTGGCGGTTTTCCGAATTCAAGATGGTGGCCGTCAGTGGATAACACATGTTAACCGCCGAAATGAGTCCTTAGCATGGTTCACAGAATTTATCATAGCGGCGGTTAAAACATGTGTTGGACAGGATGGAGTTACTAGTTTGGGTGAATTCGTCCTTGGGAGACTGTTGCTCCATCTTGGTGAGTGGTTCTTAATCTTCTTTTCTGTATTTCTTAAACCATTCCCGATTCAGACTTAACCTCCCAGCCTCAGCTGTTTATGTTGTCCTCCTTACAGTTGTATTTGTACTACAATGTCTGAGAAGCACAGCAATAAATTGGCATGTCCCTAATATTTGGGAAAGATGGTTACAAAGTTTTGCTGATTTGATACCACAAGCTGGCCCTCCCTACCTGTAGCAACATGTGCGGGTTGGTTAATGTAAGCTACAGTGCAGATGTGCCTTCCTTCAGCTGTGAACATCTCCACTCGGCCATTGCCAGCATCAGCCACAATTACACGCCCCAAACTGTCCACACAGATTCCTTGGGGGTAATAAAAATTCCCTGCTCCACTGTAACCTTTGCTGCCAAAACTGGACACGTAGACTCCATTCTTGTCATACTTTAGAATACGAGAGCCCCTCCAGACTGTGATATAAATGTTCCCGCTCTTGTCCACAGTGACATACAATGGGTCCAGTCCCATCGACCCAAACATTTTCATGTTACAGGTACACGATGGTGTCCCCTGTGTCGGTGTATCAGTAGGACTTAACCACATGAACTTTTTGGATGATGTCAGTATGATTCTGTCAGAAACCTTGTGCCACGCAATCCCACGGATTCCGGTGTAACTACACTCAGTGCCCGTGGCATGGCCATCTTTTCTGTACTGATGAATCCGGGCTCCTTCCAAAATGACCCACAGGGTATCGTTGCGGCCGGTGGATACGGCAAATGGTTTCCTGTTTCCTGTGGAGAAACTACGAATGAAATCTCCCTTCATGCTGAAGACCTGGATTCTTTTGTTCTTCGTGTCAGTCACAAATATCTTGTTAGTAGAGGACAGGGTGAGTCCTCCCAAAGTCCGAAACTGGCCGAGGCCTTTTCCTTCCCCACCAAAGGTGACGCTCTCTTTCTTTTCTGCTTGCAAAACAAAGTGAAACAGTCAGTTAGTGTAGTGCCCGGCACCCTTTTTTAGACTAAAGATGTGTTATTAGATATTGAATATTAATAGATATATATTGAATGTATCATAGCACTTGAAAATTAGGGAAACGAACTTACTAAATAGATAATATCATTTTGAGATGAAGGTAATACTAAGTCCTCTTAGACACCAAGGCAACAATTTACCCCTGAAAAAGACAGTAAAACGTTTACTAAAAAAAATAAAACTTAAAAACTTAATCAAACCTAAGAAAAAAATTTTCCCCTATACAAATTCTGTATAGAACTAATGGAAAACGCTGATCATTGGCCAAAGTTGTTTAGGTCCAGTTTCTGTACCTTTACCTGAGCTGAATCAAATGATCTCTGGTTCTGTAGATTTAAAGCATTCTGTAGCCTTTAAAGCATCTGATATTGATCATAAGAGATACTTGTGCCTACATGTACCTTCACAGTGGTATGTTGTCTCTAGGTATTTCTTAATGCCCGGACAATGGTAATAGAAGGTCACTGGAAAATCACACTCTTGTAACCCCTGACAGTTCTGCTTTATATGGTACGGTAGGTGAATGTGTGGCCTGTTACAAAATACAGGAAGCACATTAAAACTATCAGTGATTGTATTTGAATTAAGCTAATTTCAAGGACTCCTGGAGGTTAATAATATAGACACCTTGTAGAAAAATTGTAACCTTGTTTTTATCAAGTAATGGGGCATTTATAAATAAATGTCTCAATTTGTTAAAAACAATGTTACATAACCCTATAAATCACTTCAGGTGTGAGTTTAAAGGCATAAAAGGAAATAATTCTCTGCAAAACCAATAATACAAGACATCTCAACTACAACAGTGCAAAATGTATATTGTGGTTTATGAAACAAGTTCAATTCCAGCAGCAGGGCTCAAAACATAAAGGTTAAGTGCACTAGCCAGGTAAAATTGGACCTGAAATAATGGCAAGGGTTTGATGTCACCATGTGATTGCAAGAGAAAAAGTAACAAGACAATTAAACAAGTAGTCGAGACAATGAATGAATGAATGAATGAATGAATGAATGAATGAATGAATGAATGAATGAATGAATGAATGAATAAGTAAACTGCATTCTATATTTAGCATATTACAGTTTCCCCTGACCCAAGAGAGAATATGAGATGTTAGGATTGTAGTCGGGTTATGATCAAGAATCCAGGGACCTAGCACGACTAAATAGTGCTCTTAGTGGCCAGCCCACTCAACAATTGCCAGTGAATAAGAGATTTTGTAAACACAGGCTACTAAAGTAGCAGCCTATCTAATCTAGCTATAAGGGTAGGATTAGATCAGGTATGATGTTCCTACCCGTTGTTGACTTTTCACACTGGTCACAAGACTTGAGCATACATCCACAGTGAGGACCTTCTTCCCTCTGACCGTAGAAGGCATCTTCGATCACGATCAGCTCATTCGCTGCACAAGACAGTCGCATGGTCTCCTTTTCGCAGGTAATTTCTGCATCAGTGATAGCATGTTACCTTTAGGCAGCAGCAATATAATTTCAGTTCTCGAATTTTTCAGAAAATACATAAAGGGTAAATGATGATGATGATTAGATACACTTACATCTTTAGGAGTGGGAAAACCTGTAATGAGGAAATGCTACCATATCTAAACACAATATTTCATACTTATTGCATAGTTTTACTAAAAAGTATATAGAAAAAAATCAAGCTGCTAAATAAATTATCCAATCTCATGCTTATTTTAATATTACTTTGAATTTCGGCTAACTTTACTTCTGTGCCTACCTTTTCGACTGGGTCGGTTGGTACGTATACCTTCATTGGGTGGACTGGTACTATTAATACTCCCAAATATGTGTGGTTTGGTACCATTGATACCCCCAAGGCTGGCCAAGGGTGGGTTGGTACCATCGGAGGATCTGATGGTAGCTATAGTTGTGGTCACTTCTGTTACATGTACATTCATTGTACTTAAGTTGCTGACTTCTTTCATAGGACTATCCTGGAAAAGCAGCAGCAAGAAGAAATGTAAAACTAGAATTATGGTAACATTTTCAAAGCAAGTACAATATTTTACAAGTTTTGATTAGGCCACACCAATTTAATTTCTTGGCTCTAGACTTTAGAAAATTAGTTAAGTAGTATAACCAGGAGTTAAGCACCAAGGAGAGGTACTAGGTCTCCCGTGTTTTTTTTGGTTAACAATATGTATCATTGCATGTAATTTATACGGTGCTTCTTTTACATAATGCTCATTTAAATAAATGGCCCCGTAACCAATACATAGATCATTCAGTACTACGCTATTGAATTTTGAAGAAATGTTGAGAATTTTGAAGAAATTTTGAGAACCAAGGAACAAAGCTGGTGAGGGCTCATGGTGAAAAAAAAAGAATAAACAACAAACAACTCAAAGCTCGGCAAGATCAAAGAGGTGAAAGATACCAGTTCAATAAGTGCAACCAGCAGTTCTTAATCTTCTTATCAGTCTACCAGTGAGTTGAGAGCACCACACCTCAGGAATTTACAAAGATTGTGCTGAAAAATATTTTGAAAACTTTTCATGTGTATTGTTGTCTTGTATAACTGGTACTTTTTTTCCCTTCCTGTAAGAGTTCCGGGTCGGGAATTGTGGCCTAAGGTGTAAAATTGAGCCCTGAAAAAGCTGTTGACCTTACCTTATGCATGCCTGGAGCAAAGAGATAAAATCCTATGATTGGTCCCATAACCAGCAGGACTACCCCCAATGCAGCAAAAAAACGTCGAGTCACTGTAAAACAGCGTTTTGAAATTGTTTTCTCTAGAAAACAAGAGTTCCGAGATCTCATACCTCCATGAAATATGGGCTTGACATGTAAATGTAAATTTCTTCTTTAATTACGCAAATGACCTCTGCATTAACATAATATATGCATCGTGATGTTAACTTTTGATTAACTTAAAGATGTCCCAAGTATGACATTCCCATCATTCACCATTGAGAAATCATAGATTTTTTGCATTAATTATGCAAATTAGGTCATCATTTGCATAATTAGTATCTGTTGATGTTCCATCTGCCGTAGGTTACATACATTACATGTATGAAAGTTCTATAATGTAAAACACTTTAATTATAGAATTTCCTCATTAATCATGCAAATAAAGTCCTCATTTGCATAATTTGCAGTTAATTATGTACATCTCTCTGTCAGATACCTACACACCAAAATGATGAAAATATGCTGTTCCTATCTGGACTTATTGGCTTTCAAAGATTTCGCCCGAAAGTCCCCTGCAGTTCCTGAACAAGATGCTAGGGGGACCAAACCCACACCACTTATTCCTGACAGGAAAAGCTATCTGTCACCAAAAATTCAAGACCATAGCATGTTCAGGACCAAAGATACAAAAACCGGAAGTTCTGCTGCAGTACCAAGGTCATCCACCAGGAGGCCCATATTTGACCTTGACCTTTGTCTTCCTAAGACTTATCAGCATACCAAATATCATCACAATCCATAAAGGCGTCATGAAGTTATGCTGACTACAAAGTTGCGGAAACACACACAGACACATAGACACACAGACACACACACAGACAGACGCCGCCAAAAACAATACCTCCATTTTTCATGGAGGTAAAAAGAAAAGGCATTGCACAAGCACGGTAATCAAATATAAAGTTAACATAAAGGAAATAATAACAAAGGTTTTAGAACAGTTTTTAGCATATTGGATGTTTCCAATATTTTGAGTGGTGCAGGTAAAATTTGTCAGGTGTGCAGGTCATTTTCAGTGTGAAGAAAAAGTATTTCAAGCCCTGGGTTGTTACAGATGATGACAACAATCATAAACAAGAAGCTAGACCTAGGTCTATACACTGTGACAGTCATGAAACACAAGTCTATGTTTGTCATCAAACACAAGTTTATGTCTGTTGCCTTACCGTGAAGTTTATTGGCCTTTTGGAGGTCTGCTCTGTACATCGGATTTGGATAACAAACCTTTGCATTTGGAGGATTGGGAAGCTTGTGTACGTGTTGGGTGGTGTCATGACTGGAGTCAGCTGAAGCCTGTTGGCAAGCATTTTTTTGATGTGCTGAGATTTGTTGTTGTGCCAAGATAGGTTTCGTTATCAAACATGTCTGTAACAGCATAAGGTTCAATGTCACCATCGTCAGTCAGTGTACTGTCTGCTTGCATGATGTTTTCAGTGTTTTGCTGTTCTTTTTTGATGTTTCCATTAGAATTACCATCTTCTTCATTTTCCCCTGATGGGGCAGCGTACATGGCAGAGTTTTCAGCTTGGATCGTGTCATATACAGAATACACATTATCAACCTCTGGGGTGGGGATATCATTATTATCTGCCATATAATAATGCTCATTTGTGCTTGTTTGTTCGACTTCATTGCCAGCTCCATATGTAGCCTCCAACATGTCTTGTCCTTGACCACTGGGAGAGTTTTGGCCGCATGTTGACATTCTTGTTGGCTCTGCAGTAGTACTTTCTGTGTACAGCACATTCTGATCAGAGTGTAGATAATCTTCATTTTGTCCTGGGCTTGTGGGCTCCTCTGGATGGTTTGTGTGATAAACCGGATTGTTCCTTCCTCTGCTGGACTGGGACATATTGAATCTGTTGGCAAAGCCAGAATGAGAACAAGATGTTCTTTGTACATTTAGTGGCAACACTTGAATACAGACATACTGTCAGTATGGAAATGCTCTGTGCAGGTTTTAATCAAGTTAAATCCCAACAGCCAATCAGCAAGAAATGCTCTGTGCAGGTGGAAATGCTCTGTGCAGGTGTTAATCAAGTTAAATCCCAACAGCCAATCAGCAAGAAGTATAGAGGAAAGCTGCATGCCTATTGGTTGATGCCCTGCATTCCATTGTGATGACTCATGCCCAAACGTGGTAAACAAGGCACACTAACACAGTAATACATTTGCTATAACACAGCCAAAAAACTCAAATAAAACCATTCTAAAAGCCTGTATCACAATAATTTAAAAAACGCCTAGGGGTATTTGCCCACTGTACCTCCATACCAAATTTCAGGACCTTGGGCCCTAAAATGAAGAAGCTGAATCCATTTAAAAAAATGGCAGGAGAAGGAGGAGGAGAAGAAGAAACATCAGAAAAAGCAATATGGGTTCACCACCACTTCGTGGTGTGGTGAACCCATAGTAATAATAATAACTCCTATTTAATTTATTCCTGGTCACCTGCTATGTCAGTCTCAAAAAATCAAATTTTGCTGAATACTTTGGGGGATGAAATATCTTGTTATTTCACTCCATACTTAAGTATGGAGGGAAATACTGTTTTTACTGATGATTCTCCTCCTTCTTCTTCTTCTCCTCCTGCCATTTCTTTAAATTGATTCAATTCCTTCATTTTTGGGCCAAACGACCTGGAATTTCGTATAAAGGTAGAGTGGGTAAATACCCCTAGGGGTTTTTTTATTTTTTTTGATACAAGCTTTTACAATCGTTTTATTTGCGTTTTTAGCTGTTCCCATAGGAAAGTACTGTGGGGCGTACGCGCGTGACGTAATAAGAAAGGAATTCGGGGGCGGGCCCAAATATGGGCATGCAAGCATGAACCTGACGCAGCCTAATCTTTTCTTCTTGCTGATTGGCTGTTGGATTTGATTGGATTAACTCAATTAACACCTGTTCAAAGCCATTCCATGTTGACAGTATGAACTCAAGTGTTTTGGTAGGTACAGCACAGGCCACGAAATACGCATCAATTTTCGAGGGACGTTCTGCGGGAGAGTGCAGGACGCTGTGCGGGACTTCCCTCGGGAGAGTGCGGGACGTCCTCCGGGAGAGTGCGATACGTTCTGCGGGAGAGTGCGGTACGTCCAGCGGGAGAGTGCGGTACGTTCTGCGGGAGCCAGACATTTTGCTCTTCTCTGTTGGAACAACGCAAGTTGGAGGTCAATGACCTGCGCCCGGCGTGTAAACAAGATTGGACAGGGAGCGGCTGTAATATCAAAGGAGCCGGCGGCTTCTGCTAGCCGGGTTGATAGTTAAGTAACATCAAGGTGGTTCAAAAGCAAACCTGATAAAGAAGGAAACCCCGTAGTTAATAGTTGAAAGTCTTGGTGGCTTGAGGCGATCGATACCGCCATGCTGTTTACTTTATATGACATACAATGCAGTGAGTGATGTGTATCGCAACGAGTTAGCTCGGTTGGTAACGCGCCAGACGGCAATCCCAGAAATTGTGAGTTCGATCCCCAGTGCATCGGATATTAACATTTTAAACAATTTTATCATTTTTAACAATTTTATCAGTTTTAACAATTTTATCAGTTTTAACAATTTTAACAATCCTGCATTTTAACAATTTCAACTATTTTTTTTTTGATTTTCGTTGTTTTGCTTTTAACATTCAAAAACTGATTGTTCTTACTCAAGAATGTCAATAACTTAGAATGTTAGTCTTTTGTATTTTTCCAACATACAAACCAAAATCACTTTGATGTTGTCATAAAAGTATGGAGCTGACAAGAGAGAATGAGTACGGTACTCTGCCAGTGTGAAGAATCTACAGAGGTATTACCAGTCACTAGTAGCAAGAGATAGACCACATTGAATGATGACGATGAGGACGAATCATATGGAGTACTATCATAGCTTAGTACAGAAATTCTACTGCTTTACTTTACTTTACTTTCTTTCACTCTGTACATGCAATTAGCTCACTGGCATGATTTTAAAAATAAAGGTTATGATAATCATATTATATGTATAGCTTATTCAATGTATGGCTTCATAGTTTATGTGATTGTTAATAAGGCCATGTTGATTTGATTGTATGGATGGCATCTGTGCGCGCATCGGTTTTCGTTAATTTAAAACTAAGTTTACGACATTCATACAAAACATCTGGAAACTAAGCAAACATACTCTGTAAATTGATTACTGTAATTCCCGATTTTTTTCACTGTACCGCAACGTAACGCAAGCAGGAGGTCAATGTTCACGGTTTTCACTGTCACCTCTGTACCGTGAACTTATCTTTACAGTTAGGAAATAATTCCTGGACTTTCTTTTTCCTGCAACTGTCACCACCGTGAATATATAGTTCCGTGAACATGTCCATGTTTCTCAGACCGTGAAAATTTTGCTACCGTTAGTAGTAGTTGCAATTTCGTCATTAGTAGTATTTAGATACCTGCAATATGTAACTTTGAAATTGAGATAAGTGTAAAGTAAAGCTGTCGAGATTTAAAGTGCTTGTCGTTGTATCTTTGTAAAAAAAAGGGAGATAATGGCCAAGCGCCATTTTTGTAAATATCTGTCGAGATTCAAAAAGCTTGTCCTTGTATGATTGCAGTATGATTTATTCAGAATCTTCTATTTTTGTATGGGGAGGGAGATGGAGTGAAATATTACATTTGCTCCGAAGCAAATGTTGGCCTTTCTAGTATGTTACTTGTATGTTGTATCGTGTATACCTACCTACCTACAATTTGCAGAAAAAAGCCTGAACTCACTTCGGAGGGTAAATTTTTTTTCTGTCTGCAGTCTGCAAATTCACCAGTATCAGAGTATCTGATGTGAAAATTCATGCCATGATACTTACTGTTAAGTGAAGCCTTGGAAGCAGCAAATACTGACAGAACTGGATCAAGTTGTCTCGGAGACTGTTCCTGGCAAAATTTCTGGTCAGGAAAAACAAGTTTTCTCCAGTTGGCTCTGGGTGAATTTGAGGTGTGGTGCTCCAAACTCGGGTGGTTCTCTCAACTGGTAGACTAATAAGTACATGTAGATAAAAAACTGTCCTTGGCGTGCACACGTTGAAAGTATATCTTTCATCTCATCTGATTGTGGCAAACATTGAGTTGGTTGGATGTTTATTCATTTTTTTTCACCATACACCAATTTTTTTCCTTGGTTCTCTGACATTTTTTAGCAAAAATTCAGCAACTTGAATCAACGTGTAGTAAATGTCCTTTGTGCTGAACTCCTGGTTATACTAATGCATTTCCTCATTTCTTTTTTAAATGTCAATAACCAGGATTTCTCTCGACTGGTAGACTAATAAGTAGATGAAAAACTGTCCTTGGCATGCACACATTGAACTTCTGTCTTTCATCTCATCTGATCTTGATGCTTTGAGTTGGTTGAATGTTTATTCATCTTTTTTTTTTAGCATAGCCCACAGAAATTTCTTTCCTTGGTTCTCTGACATTTTTTTTAGGGAAAATTCAGCAACTTGAATCAACGTGTAGTACATTCCTTGGTGCTGAACTCCTGGTTATACTAATGCATTTCCTCATTTTTTAAAAATGTCAACAACCAAGAAATTAAATAAGTATGGCCTAACAAAATGTTTGAAATTTGTGAGGTGTCCTCCACTGGTCCAGCTGCTATGTTGGGGTTCAGGGCTCGAAATTCATAGGATGCACAATACTAATTATGTGAATAATTTTTAAACCTTTACTGACTTTTGTTTTTCTTAAGCTTCCAATGGACAGAAGGAAGGACCAGACTTTGGCCAGCAAAGCAGCAAGAAGAGACACTAGCAGACCTGGGATTGTGAGTATAGTTTATTTGTGCAGCAACACAACGATTTCCATCACCAAGTACACACACTTGCCTACATGTCTATCCTTTAACACCCACTTCATTCTTTCAACCTTGTTAAATCTAAGCTCAGTCAATTAGTGTATCAGGCACTGCTTAGAACTAATTGCACAGTATGTTGTCACCCTTCTTGCAATGCCTTGGACCTTTTCCTTGCCTTTGCATTTCATCCTGTGACTCTGCTTGGTTCTATATAGACATGTTGTTTACACACATTGTCACACTTTGGACCCTTACTTTACACTTTAATTCCCCAACACTTTTGAGTTAAATTTTCCCACCAAGTTCACTGAAAAATTATTAATTGTCACTTTGGACCTGGACACCCAGGATAATTGGGACCCTCTAGTAGATAATTAATTGCATTAAAATTTTCCCGCCAAAAAAACTTGACCTCCTCTACTCACTTATAACCAGCACGCTCATACAAGTTACACTGTTCCAATGCTTTCGACATTTATCGACTTGTTTGAACACTCATGCTATGTCAGACCAACCTCCGCAAACACTTAGTTTATTTTTCTGCCAAAAAACTCTACTGTCGGCAATGCACAGAAGTTTGATCCCCTGGGGATGTCTTTGTGGAGACACGGTGTTTCGACACACCAGCATTCTTGTGCAATTGACTGACTAGTAGAGTTTTTGGCAGAAAAATCTCACTCAAGTAACTATAATAAGTGTTTGGGGAGGTTAGTCTGACATAGCATGAGTGTTCGGACAAGTCGGTAAAGGTTCAAAGCATTGAAACAGTGTAACTTGTATGAGAGTGGTGGCTAGAGTGAGTAGAGGAGGTCAGGATCCCTATATTTTAAGTTTTTTTGCCGGAAAATTTTAATCCAATTAATTATCCAACTGAGGGTCCCCGTTAGCCCATTTTTAAAAAGTGGTCAGGTCAAAAGCAACAATTTTTCAGGATAACCATTCAAGAGACAGAGTTTTAACTTAAGTGAAGGGCCCGAGTTTTTTTGGCAGGGAAATTGAACTTGATCAAATAAGTGTTTGGAGAATTTAAGTGTAAGGGTCTGAAGTGAAGCTAAGCAATGAATTCAGGATATCAAATA